GGAGGCCTGTAGGGTTGTAAGGCATCGAAGCTCCCACATTTTCTAGACAATCAGCTCACAGATGGCAATGAGGTTGTCGGCCTTAAGCGCCTGCCACCCTTTACCCCCAGGAAGATTCCTGGTATTCATTTCTGTTAGAAGCTGAGTCGACCCCAAGGCCATCATTATTATTATTATTATTATTATTATTATTAGAGGGGGTGGGTTTCCCCATGCACTTAGACCAGTTATTGGTCCATTGTGCGTCCCCCATTAATTTCTACTGTCGCCATACCCTACCGGTTCTGGTCGTGCTATCAGCCCCGTTCAGCCAACGAGGTCGGCCGTCGGTACCTGATATTTCCCCCCTCTACCAGAGACATTGGAAACTACTTGGGCGGGAAATTGTTGCCTAATTTTGCTCAGAGGTCTCCTAGAGACATGAGGCTCTTTTACGTGCCGTAAATCTACGTAACGGTACCCACGGCTTAAAGTCCCTCCCGGAGGACTTGTTCCCTGAAATTTTCCGCCCTTAAAAATTCCACGACCTCCGTCGGGTTTGAACCTTGAGTCATGAGGTGGGAACGTTACCCCTAGCCTACGGAGGCCGCTTACCCCAGGGCCATACTGCGGCTGGAAATAATAGGCCAGTTAAAAAAAACAGCGACCTCATCGGCAATCGAACCCGCGACCTTCCATCTTGTACCGTGGTGCCTCAGCCAACTACGCAACTACAACCCCTCATATGTGACAATACAAATAATTTGATACTAGACGGCGCCACTTATAATGCAGGCAGGAGCGTTACGAGTAGTCATACACGGTCATACACGGTGACACCCCTGTCGCCCCTGTCTACCGATCTCGAATCCCGAAGTCAAAGTGATCCGTGGCGGTGGTGTTTTGTTACTGATAATTTGATTTGATTTGGTTTTGTAAGCTGTATAGGAAACGGAATTTATTCGTAAAGGTATATGTTAGTGTTTTACTGTGGTTGATATTATGTGACTTGGGACGACAGAAACTCACTTAAGCTGTCAGATAACTGGAGCAAGTAAAATCCCTATTCAGACCGTATTTTACAACTGGAGAACACATGCAGGTGTAGTATATATGTTCATCGATTATGTAATAAAATATTTCGGTATAGTTTTTTAATGTGACAGATGCGTTTTGTTGACCTAGAATACGTTTGTGTTAGAACATGTGACCCTAAACAATGCCTCGAATTCAGAGCCAGGTTAGGGGAATTTGGTAGGTTAGAATAATTCTTGTTGTGTATGTAATAACCATAAGTAATCCACAAATTCATCGACAGTTATTTATGATTGCCCTAGTGTAAAGTTATTTCAATTCTTTTCATTAGGTGTAACATGACCATGCCATGGTGAACAACAACTTTCCCCTGTCAGTACTCTTTGACTAATGCCAAATACTAATCTGTTGCTTGCCCTGAGGGGTATGGTAAACTGCCTGATTAGGAAGTGTGACATTACAACCCCTGTTATTATTTTGGCCTTAATTTGTTACTTGACATTTGTATGGTCCCAGTGTGAAGCTGAAAGCTAAAAGTAATTAACTTCAAGAAAATAGTAATAAAAATACTGAGACTTGTATGGAGCTGTAAATGAGTTAATATTGAGAGCCTGGTAGTTTCATGTCTGTCTGCACCATCCAGCCAGTTTGCGTGCGTCCAGTATCTGTAAACTGTCATGGAGCCCATGTGCTTGTTTATGTTTATGTGTCCATGCTTATCTTATTGCCACAGATGTCCTTAAAAACAGAAGTGCTAGGATGGACAGCACACAGTTCCCAGGTTGAAAGAAATGAGTATGTCACAGTATGAAACCAGTCTCATTACCTAACAGTAGCCTTACACTTTTAATTTACAGGGCTAGTCTGTATTCTGTGGAGATGGGGAAGATGTGTTCCCCATGCCAGGAACCAAACAACAGTTGCTTGGTCATCCAGCCCATGGCCTGCTCACTATGCCATCTGAGCTATCCCAGCTCTCATGAAAGTAGCTCACAGAAAAAAAGAAGAAATTGTGATGCCTAACATAGAAAACAAAAATAGTAATATCCTGAAATACTGACAGTTGTGGAATGTTGTTTAGTTTAAATTAAGATATTATTTATGTAATTAAAAATTGGTAACTTAATTTACATAATTGAAAATTAATATTCTGTATATTTATTCATTCAAATTCCTGTTGCTCCCTTTGGAGCATTTGACTCTGTGTTGGTAAAGTATATAAAAGTTTAAATATAAATGCAAATTCTGTTGATATGTTGTATATACATGACCATGACTGTATTTCATAGTGTACCCAGTCTCGGATAGACACTAGCTCGGTTCAACTCTACATGTAACGTATGACTAACAATACATGTGCTACATATTGTGGAACATACGTTATTAAATTGTAGTCGCACTGATGGTGGAATTTGTATTATTAGTTATACTCACGCAACAGCATGCAAACATTAAAAATTGTAACATATGGCTGGTTTCTGGGTAGCATAACTAATTCTTTTATTTAGCACAATTTGACCATGATTTCTCAGTTACTTTACAGTATTTCCTTTGGGAAATTAGTGTCTGACACAGATGCTCTTTACAAAGAATTTTGAAGAATGCATCGTTTGTGTTAGGAACTGGGCATGCTTACTCCTAGTCAGGTCACTAAGTGTGTGAATGTTTCAGGTTCTACGCAAGAACAGTTTGTCCAGTACTTTCTTGATGGAGGACCTCGGCTACATAATCCAGATTTACTCCACGCATAATCGCTATCTTTGACTTGTCCCATCATGTATAATGATTCATGGATGAAATAAAATTGAATTGAATTGAATATCATTTACAAACAGAAACAATGGGCATGGTGTATTTGGAAATAGGTGTCATCCTTCATAATTTTGATAAATATGGAGTTGAATGCTAAATCTGGTGGTACCTATGAATGAAAAATTTAGTTCTTAAAATGGGAAACTCTGCTGCTTTGATACTGGGTATATCAACATTTTGTTTTTATGTGTGTATATATGCACAGAATGAAACACAGTCTCAGGAAATAAATTCAACTGAAGCAAATATAGTTTGTACTAATAACGTGACTGACGATATGAATTATGTGTGTGACCTGGACAAAGCAAATGTGACACCATCTTCAGCTGCAATAACAGAAACAGAAGACTTCAATGGCACAACTGAAATTGTGGGTCTGGAAAGCACACTTTCTACTGAAGTAGTCAGTATAGCAAATGAAACAGAGTCTGGCTTACCAGTGACAATATCCACAGTCAAATCAGAGATTCAGACAACGAAGCATTCGGAGACTACAACAGAAACAGTTCCTGCAACAACTGAAATGGTATTGGAAGCACAACCAGTCTCAAATGAAATCTGCGCATGTGATCTAAGTGTATGTATATGCAGCACTTTTTGGTCAGAAGGGTATTTTCACAGTGTTGGTATGCAGTTATGAGGGGGGAGCGCGGCAGTATTTTCTTAACCGCTTGAAAATCTCTTTAAACGGCACTGCTTGCCTGAACTCATAGCTACATTTAAATAGCAGCAAGTTGCAGCTGTTGCATTATGGCAAAATAAAGTTCTCCCTGTATTTAGGAAAACACCATGCCATGAAGATATATGGAGGAGTGGAGGTATAGCTTCACCGTTCTTCACCTTGGCACCAGATTAGTGGTCAGCTTCACTCCCTGACTGCTTTAACCCTGGGGAAGGACCCCCAGTAGCCATTGTAGAAAGGCTAGGTGGGCCCCAGGGCTCAACTGGATGCTATCGACTACAGAAAAATGTGCCCCTGTCAGGAATCAGCCATACAGCTTAGTAGCCCATCACTACCAGCCGAGCTCTGAGCTATCCTGGCTTCATGTTGCTTTATGGTTACAGAATTACATGTATTTCATGATGCATTATGATTACCAGGGCCCGGATTTTGATGACATGTCATCTTTTTTTCCTTGTATCCTATGCGATGCTCTTAAATATATAAATCTCGGATATGAGCTGCTGGTTACAGAAATATAATTTTTTGTCATTTTTTGACATTTTTAGGTTTAAGGTCATTTTTTCATTTGGGGGGAAATTTTTTGGACTTTTAAGGGTTTTTCTTATCATTTTTGGCCATTTTAGGGAATTTTTCTTCATATGTTTTCTGAAATGTGAATAACATGGAAGCGAAGTGTTCTCTCTTTTCTCCTTTAGGTCATTTTTCTGGATTTTTTTGGTCATTTTTTTAATATTTTCAGGTCATCAAAATCTGGGCCCTGCATATTACATTTTTGGGCCATATTTTAGGTAATTTTTCTGGATTTTTCAGTCATTTTTTTAAATATTTTCAAGTCATAAAAATCTGGGCCCTGATGATTCATCATCATCAGTAATCTGTCAGATGACAGGTCCACAGTCTCTTCCAAAACAATTCCTCCACTTAATGCGATCTAGAGCTTTCTCCTTGAAATGACAGTATCCTCTTCTGTCCCCAAGGTCATCCAGCATCTTCTTACGTCTTCTTCCTCGTCGTCTTGTCACTTCTATCTGCCCCTCTATCTTTCCTTCAGTAACTTCTTTTAGAAGGAAGTTTCTGCGTAAAACATGACCAAACCAATTAGCCTTCCGTTTTCTTATTTCGTGTAGGATATTCCTCTGCTCACTGACTCTAATTAACACTTCTTCATTTCTCACATAATTGGTCCAACTGATCTTCTCCATCCTTCTCCAACACCACATTTTGAAACTTTCCAGATATTTCTGATCTACTGCACTAAGTTCCCATGTTTCAGCCCCATACAGAGCTATGCTCCAAATGTAGCATTTCACTAGTTTCTTCTCAAATTTAAGTACAATTTGCTGGTAAAAAGATTCTTCTTCTTGTTAAATGCAGCTTTTGCCATGGCAATCCTGGATTTAATTTCACACGTACACCATCCATCATCTTTTAGCAAGCTACCCAAATATTTAAAACATTTCACATTCTCCAGTTGNACTAAGTTCCCATGTTTCAGCCCCATACAGAGCTATGCTCCAAATGTAGCATTTCACTAGTTTCTTCCTAAATTTAAGTACAATTTGCTGGTAAAAAGATTCTTCTTCTTGTTAAATGCAGCTTTTGCCATGGCAATCCTGGATTTAATTTCACACGTACACCATCCATCATCTTTTAGCAAGCTACCCAAATATTTAAAACATTTCACATTCTCCAGTTGTTTTTGGTCTATCTTTATTGTGACTGGGGTTGGTTGTCTCAAAATTTTCATTACTTTTGTTTTCTCCACATTCATTTCCATGCCATAGCACCTTCCAATTTCAATTAGTCTATCAATCATGTCCTGTAGCACAGTTTCTTCCTTAGCCATTAACACAAGGTCATCTGCATATTTCACAGTTTGCCCTGATGATTACAGAAAGTATTTTAAGGTGTATATCAAGAAATAAAATGCAGTCTTTGGTCAGAGAAATACACAGAAGAGCATGCAGCTGCTGTCTGGTGATGGCAAAATGAAATGCTAGTACAGTTGAAACATGAATTTGAAAATGTCTTGGGGCCATGGTATAGTTGTTTGGACACAGCAGACACCCCTGTTTGGGAGACGATGTAAACTAGCAGTGGTTTAATATAAAATAAACAAATAAATTTAACCCTTTCCTCATTCCATTGTGTGAGGTTCTACCAACTCAGTTTTCTTTCAGTTTTAAATGAGATTTTACTGGGGGTATAATGACTATGGGCTGGATGATCAAGGAATCAGAATTTGATCCTAGCAAGGGTAAAAGTTCTTTCTCTTCTCCAGTGCCCAGACCAGCTATGGGGCCCACCCAGCTTCCTTTATTAGAAGTTAAAGGGGCTGGGATGTGAATCCCATCACCCCCCAGCATCCAACATTTGGAATGTTAACAGTCTTAAGGTAAAGCTCTCCCTGTAACAGAACATGGAGGCCCAAAGGGTTTTGAGATGTTGAGGTTCCCACATTTTTCTAGACAGTTGGTTCACAGATGGCAGTGAGGTTGATAGCATTCTACGACGGCCACCCTTCACTTGCAGGAAGATTCCTGGTACCAATTTCTGTTGGAGGGTGAATTGACCCCAGGGTCATAGTTCAGCTGGAAGGATTAAGTCAATTGAAAAATTCACTGACCTCATTGGGAATTGAACCCCCAATCTTCTGGCCTCTAGCATAGTGCCTCAGACAACAATGCTACCATGTGCCCCAAGAGTGTTAGGATATTTGTTTATTTATGGTTTATTTTGCTGTCAGGAATAATGGTGAACAGGAAAAGATATGGAAGGAGGCTGTCATGGCCTAATTAAAGTACTGGGTAAAACCACAAAAACCTCAGTCTGGACAGCCAGTATTCTGGCTGAGTTTCGAGGTGAGCACTGCTAAACACAAGTCAGAAGTATTACCATTCAAGGCAACTTGCTCTGTGGAATGCATGGAATTATACCTCCACTCCCCCATACATATTCATGACATGGTGCTTAATTAAGCATGGGGATAACTTTTCCTTTTTAGTGTGTTATTTTATTTTACCGTGTTATGTGATAGGAGGAGCAAAATGGTAAGATAGAACAAAAAGCCGTCTCATATTACAGTTGATTTTATGCCTTACTTTTATGAATGTGTTTTGTTTTCTTTTGTTCTTGTGTTTTGTGACATGTTGCTGTATGCCTAGAAGTGTAGTCCTACAACAAACGTGTGGGGCCATCTGGCATGCAGTTACAGGCTGAGAGAAAGGGGCATGAATCATGATATGAAGTCATTCTTGTTATTTATGAAACAATAACTTTGCACTTTTTAAAATGCAGAATTGTGTTGTAAACAGCTCATGAAACACACAGACCTAAAAAGGCTTCCTAAAACACACGGGTAAAAAGTTAAACAAGCTATAAGTACCTGTAATTTTATTATTTGTAGGATCTTTAATAAGAATACTTTTACAAGTTTTCTTTTCAAGAATTGTCATCAGGAGGATAGTCTATTACTGAAGTGAAATTATTTTTAATGAAGAGAATAATAAGAATAGGGTTATTCTTAGGTTTTGTAAAATGTTACTTATATTTGACATCATTGTGTTAAAAGAATTTTTGTGGGAGTGATCCAGCACTGAAAGAAGGACCAGGGAAATGTCCTGGACTCCCCTGTATGGACTACTGCCCTGAGTATGTTATACCACTGTGTAGCAACATAATGAAAGCCTTGAGTAGTCGTACTTGAATGTAAATTTTGTTGTAGTTTTTGTTAATGTGAACCAATGTAAGCTCAGAAGAAAATATCAAGCAGCATGATCTGCAAAAGGTTTAGGCTGAAAGAAGTGCTGGATACAGTGAAGGTAAAGTTATGGAAGATTTGAGGTTCTAATGGCAGTGTATATGTAGGGTACCATCTTCTGGGATATGATGATTCCGTTAGTAAGTTGTCAGTGTTTCAGAGAAGCCAACTGCCTCAAAAACTTTTATCTTTTAATAGATTGCATGGCATCACAGCCAAAAGGATTCTGATCTTATAAGACAAAAATTGTCTGTGTGCTTAATTAAGCACCATGCTATGAAATGTATAAAGAAATTGAGGTATAGCTCCATGCTTTCTTAATCTAGTCACTGCATGGAGGTGAGTGGTCAGCATCATGCCTTGTCCACTTTATTGTCAGAAAAAGGGTCCACAGTACACATTGGAGAGGAGGCTGAGTAGACCTCAAACCTTATGTGATATGATGCATTATATACACATGAGCCAGAATGTGGACAATTTTATATTTCCATTTCTGCTGAAGCAACACCAAAAGGGCTTGAAAACCAAACAAAGGATGTATGGCAGTGATTGCATTGATTGGATCAGATGTTACAGCAAGATAACCCTTTTGCTGAGTAATAGAAATGAATGGAACAAATGAAATTAAATATGTGAATAAACAGATAAAGTTTTAATTTTTAATTAAAAACTTTTAAGTATAAGTTTAATTTTATTTACATGTTTATTTATATTGATGCTGTTGTTTGTACAGATGAACTCTTGTGATATCAACTGTTGCTGTGATGGTGATTGCTCAGACAATGATAGACTTGCATTCTCAGCCTGTCACACCAGAACATCATTTAATTTTGATTCTCGTCATTGCTACCAGACTCATTTTGTGTATCATAATAATACAGAGTTGAAGCTCGTCCGAAATGAAGATGGCTTATTCTGCATAGTGAGGGATAACCTGCCTGAAAGGTTTACATACCAGAACAGAAAGGTGGGATTTAATATTTGTAACTTGCCTTCCATATAAGAAATTTCTTTTCCTTGCTAAATAATTGTCTAATTTTTGTCATTAATATGTACATCGTCCAGAAAGTAAAGACCGTTTGGTGATTAAAAAATAAATGAATAAAATTAATAAATGCTATTTTACACATTACTACAGACCTTAAATCTTTTTTCTACAAAATCCCCATGAAGATTCAGGCACTTGTATCTTCCAACAAGTTTCTGTATGCCTGCATTGTAGAAATCTGCCAATCCATTGAACGAGTCTTTATCTGTCTTGTTCACTTCTTGATCGTCACCCATGGATATGACACCCAAAAATCTGCTTCAGGCACGTGAACAAGTGAAAAATCACTTGGAGCCAGGTCTGGACTGTAGGGAGGATGGAAAAAAACGTCCCAGGCAAAGTCAGGAAATAGCGCAGGTGTGCTAGAAGTCTTTTCTTTCTGGACGAACCTCATAGTTTGTTACACATCTTAATATCCAGGGTCAACAAATGTTGGCCGAGACAAAGCTCTGATAGCTGTACATTTCTCCACAAGACAATTGTGTCACTCCAGTCCAGTGACCATCACATGATACAGAGAGCATCTAAAATACTGTCCCTTATATTGTATAATGTATATACAATATATAATTTGCTTTTTCGATTCAGTATGTACATATTACTGATGTTTAAAATACATGATGTTCCAGAAACTGGATCAACATCTGTTGTCATGTCTAAGGGGATAAAGGATTCTGCTCAGTTGGGTCCATTAGGAGGAACTAGTTTCAATTATGGGCTCCTTATAATGAGACCACTTGTGTAGGATCCTTTACCCCCCCTTACACCTGACAATTGTGGCCGGTCTGTTTTCCATAATGTAATGTATTTCAAGAGACTGGACATTGTCCAACATAATATTTCTATAGTGAACAGAGAAATGCCACAAATTTAGGAGATCATCAAATTTGCTAAATAAGATGACGATGTGGTAATACAATCATCAGTTTTTTTAATATTATCCGTTATCCTAAAAAATTGTGATGATGGAGATGACACTCTGGACACCAGACTTTGTTTCCATCCACACGTAAGAAACAGTTTTTTTCAGCCAGTCTGCAAAATGTCATCTTGTGCAAGAATTAGGACGATGGATACTGTCCAAAAAAATTGGCCATTTTTATCAAATTTACTGTGTGGCATCTGTAGTGGAATATAAATTGAGAGTAGGAGAGAATACTGATGACTAAATTTAAAGAGTTCTTGAACTCAACACATCAGCATAACCAGAAATAGAATGGTGATGTCTACATGCAACCACAGTGCACGCATGTTAAAAGAACAGCAACACCTGTATGAGCAGCATATAACAACATACAAAGTATGCATGTCAAGACAACAGAATGCAGTGCAACAGATTACACATTTTCACAAATATTTTATTAAGTTTTAGTTGTTAAGAACAAACAGTTGCTTAAAATCAACGTTGCATTAACACATGATATTCAATTTCATGTGCATTGAAACCAGTTTCAGCAAGATAACATATACCTGATTATGGTCTGATATGACCGAAGCATGTCTTAGTAAGATAGGACATATACTAAGGACAGAAATAAAAGTTGCATCGCAATGGTGATACACATGCACGAGTATTTACATTAATGCAACAGGATGCTTAAGAACAATATTTAAAGAGTTATCTTCTCCTCATGGATGAGCAGAGGTGCTTTGTTGAGCCATTTTGATATATAAAGTAAAGCTATTCCTGTAACAGACCGTGAGGCTCATGGGGTTGTGAGATGTCAAGGCTCACAGATGGCAAAGAGGTTGTTAGACTTAAGTACCAGCCATCCTTTACCTCCAGGAAGATTCCTGGTACTCAGTTCTATTAGAGGCTGAGTCAACTCCAGGGCCACAGTGCAGCTGGAAGGATTAGGTCAATTGAAATATCTAATGACCATATGAGAATCAAACCTGCAACCTTTTGGCTTGCAACGTAGTGCCTCAACTAACTACACTACTGCATGCCCTCTTTTTATATATAAATAACAATGAATTTTTACTTCTGATGGTGAGAAACCATTTTGGATTGGTTCCATTTGCAGTTTCAGTAATTCAAGGGATAATGAATTGTGATAACTTGTATGAAACATTTCTGCAGCTGAAATGGTGTTCTTGATAAAGATATTTTAACTTTTTTCTTCTCTGCCATATCCTGAACAGTCCCCTGTCATATGTAGACAGGATGCATTGTGAAGGAGGAAAGGTACCCATGGCATGAAATATGTCCTCCCATGTAAAGTCATATTGCATAATAATGCATCTAGCTTTACTGCCACCGACAAATTCTGGTGTGTTGTGGGAAAGAGAGTTACATAAAAAGTTGGTCAGAGTGAGATAAATGTATCACAAAATTCTCCTTATTAAAAGGGTCATATAAAAAAGAGCAGGTTATGTCTGTAAGCATAATAGTATCCCTTCATTGACGTCAAAATGCTGAGTTAAGTACATTACTGCATACATGTCTAAAATTATTTCTTCTCCTTGAAAGTGGCACTTAATGACTTCACTCTGTTTTCTGTAGCACCACGAATTTATTTCTGATTTAAACATTGTCATCACTTCGTGGATTAGGCAAATCACCTGTTCTTGCCTGTAATGTTGTTACATCTCCTTCTGACTTCCTCTTGATCTTCCCTTGTCTCATCTACCAGACACGTTATTTATAGGCTTAAAGTGGAACGCAAGTCTGTACAATTTTTTTGCAGATGTATTTTCCATTTGTCTTTGTATTCTGAAATTTTTTCATAAATGGAGAAAATACCCAACTCTTTGTTAATCCTCATTTCTTACTTGATCTGCTGTAGTGTAGCCTTTGACAGATCTTAGGTATTTTCATCTCTGCTGCTTTAATTCTGTTCTAGTCTCTCTTCAGTCCATATTTCACTACTGTATAAAAGAACTGGGAGTGCCATAAGCTTATATAATTTTGTATTTGTCTGTTTCCTAGTTGTAACTTTTAACATTCTTGGAACTAGCCCACATATGCTCTGAAATTTAGAAGTTTACTTATTTAGGTCTTCATCATACTAACGAGTATGTGTAACATTACAGCATTATTTGCTCTATAACTGAATTATTGTCAGCAGTGTGCAGTGTGGTTTACAGAAAATATTTTAATTTTAGATCTTGATGGTGTATAACAAAAAATCAAATGTATTCTGTGGTCAAAAGAGTACCACAAAAGAGCATGATAGTGCCTCTGAATTACAAAACACAATATTGGCAGAATCTTTGTGCTAATTTCAGAATCTGAAAGACATGGTGTGACATTTTGCACAGAACAGCTGCATCAAGTCTCAGATAGACATTGCTGAATTTGTGTTATATTTGTTATTTAATTTGCTCTTGTTCTGCTTCACTTTTAGGTAGTAACAACATTACTTGAATTTAACAAACTGCACAGAAATCACAAAACTTTTTCTTGGCCAGCCCAGGAAGTTTATCGTCCTTTGTTTGATTCGTCTGCACCATTCAGGCAAGGATCAGTCATATGGGCTGTTGTGAATAGGACTCTAGTTCCATTCAGTATGTAGCTCAATGTATTTATTTACTGGTATTAACTAATCATAGTATAATTGGTTCAGTGAAAATTTTTGTAGGAGAACTTACAAATGGAAGTCACTGTAAAATCTTTTTCTTATGAATACTAATATAATTTGGTGTCACTAGAATTGTAGTGACATTTCTGGGGAACTAGATGTAATATAACCCTTTAATGCCAGTGGTTACTATATGTACCACCTAAATCTGCAAAAAGAATCATCATAAAGATCAAACTGATCAGTATGGCATAGTGATAATACTCTAGATGTGCTTCATTTGAATGTTGGCTGAGGCACTGGTTATCCTGATTGAAATTCTTCATGATTTTCCTCACTGTCCCCAGGCACATGCTGTGTTAGTATCTCAGGCCTTGACCAGGCAGCATATTATCACATCATCTTCAGTCTTTGAGGCTTCAGCTTTGACCCAGCACTTGACTGGTTAGAGTATGGAAGTGGTTTCACTATATTTAAAAGGGTCATAAGGTCAATTTTAAACATAAATAGGAGAGTAATGAAAATGAGGCCAGTCTAATGGTCAGATGATTATAAAAATATGCAAGTTTTACTGTTGTTTGCTGAAGTTTTGACAAATTATGTGGAGCTGTTGAAGGTTTAGAAGGCTGAGGGCTTTTTCAAGTGCCTGTACTACTATTCAATATAGGTCAGATGTTGGGGTGGCAACTTCAGTATCTGTGTCATAAGTGAGGTTAACATGTCTAATTTTGGAATCCATTATTATGTATATAGTATTTATGTGCTGAGTAATGTATAATGAGGGCCTACTGTACTCTTTGTTAATGACTGCACATACCAATTCAGTAATTCACAGCTATTGCAATATAAGCTGCAATTTAGAATTTGTTAACAGAGTTAGAAGCGAAATGATTACAGTCATTTGGCCACGTAAAAGAAGGGACAGAACAAGGACACTGAGGTCATTAGATTTAAAATTTAAAGGAAAGACACTTATGGAATGATCTAGAACAAGATGATTTGGACAGGTGCTGGAAAACATCAGGAAGAGAGGAAAGATTGTGGGAAGAAACAGAAGATTGGAGACTTCTCATCCATCAACATGTATGAAATGAGAGCAGTGCTAATAGAGGAAGGAAAAATAATTTATATTGCCCTCTATGAGGGTGCCTTTTTATGTATATCTTTAATTTTACTAAACTATATATGCAGGCTTCTAGCAGCATAATGTGTGAGGTCTGGATAATGAGAACAGCTGAAAATTTTATACAACTATATTGCACACTGCAGAGTGGATGGGTTCATAAAGTATTGTAATTTGATTATGTATGGGCACTTGTTAAATGCTAACATCAGTATAAAAAGTTAGGACATGTGGCTCATTCATTCCATTTCTTTTAATTATGTCACAAATTGAGAGACTTGGGGAAGGAGTGTTATTTTTCTCCACAACTTTTGTTCAGGACGTTTTTTACTGTGGTAAATATTGTCACAATATTTAACAAGTTTTGCTTGAGATTTGTCCAGTATCACATGTAGGTCACCATTAAAATGTTCATTATTGTTGCACAATTTTAACCAAAATTTGAGTTTGTTGGCAGATTTGTGTGAAACTCAAATGTCATAAAAAGCTCATCAGCATTTCACAAGTAGTTATATGGGTAATCTAGTAGATGCATTTTTACATCATTATGAATGCACCAAAAGAAATAACACAATGAAAATGCTTAAGAGATTTTCAAATATTGAGTTATATAGGTTGGTATGTAGTAATAAACTTTATTATTTATGAATGCTGGATATGTTGTTAATTTATCATATCATCACATTAGGTCTGCCGATGAAAGTAACGCATGCCTTGTGTCAAGCTTCAAGAGCAATGTACTATTTAAATGATTGGTCTGGAACATGTCAAGTTCCTGCAAGTGATGTTGAGAGGTGCGAAAGTCATCGAGAGCTCAGTGCTAACACTTTCTACAAAGGATTCACTGTCCTAGTTTCACCACAGTTCATAAATGAGACATATGATAATCGTTTGAAAGAGGTATGGTTCAACACTTATAAATATTTCTATTACTGTTGTCAAACCATATTTGATGTGGCATCCAGGATAATTCACTTTGTATAGTGACCAGGCTAAGGGCTGGACGACCTAGGATACAGAATTCGATTCCAGGTATGGGCAAGAAATTTTTTCCTTGTGTGCACCGTCCAAGCTCTCTGGAGCAAACCCACATGTCCAGAGGGTACAGGGGAAAAGTGATCACTGCATGAAGCTGACTACTCACCTCCATCTACTACCAAGGTTAAGACTGTGTGGAGCTTTACCTGCACTGCCTCACAAGTCTTCATAGCATAGTACTTAGTCCTTTTTATGCCACACATCAGCTCATTAGAATGGCTCAGGGCACTTGCATTGAAACTGTCACAGCTGTAGAGTTCAGCTCAATCACTACAGCATTTCTGTCAATATAGGGCATTAAGTGTGACACAGGTAAATGTAACCTTATCATAATTATGTAACTAAGCACTGTGCCATGAGGGCATATGGGGGAATGGGGTATAGCTCCAGCATTCATGACCTCAGCACAAGACAGAGGTGAATGCTCAGCTTCACGCCTTTGCTGCTTAGGGCAAACAGGCTTGCATATTATCTGTACTTGTGGTCAGTTGAAAGTCATCTAGGGGATAGTATTGTGGGCTTCTCTGTGCAATGCACTTTACCCTGGAACAGCCGAGGTGTTCTTATAGATAATTCAGTGGTGGGGCTTGGCAGTCAGAGGGTTAATTAATTACTAGGGTAACCTTTACCATTTACCATATTTGATACAGGTTTCATTTTGATTTACAGGACTGTCCAGCTGATGTCTGCATTCCTGTAACAGTACACTTATGTTCAGAGTTAAAGAGTAAAATCTCATTATTTGAGCAGTGCACTGAAGTGTCAGATTTACAGTCTGCTGTTTATAATTCTGCGTTGCAACATTGTCAGAATGTGGTCAAAGAGGTGAGATATATGATATACCATAACGGGACTGTAGGAATTACAAAAGTGTATGCTTACGTATGGCTTACAAACATGACGTTGAACACAAGATTATCACAGAAGTTCAGCATCACTTTCCATTGGGCCAAAGACACTGAAACATTCCATCGCAGTGGTAATCCTGGTTACATTGTTGGCAAACCAGTCATGAGTGGAAAAAAGGTAACGCAGATTTTTGGCACCGAAGGAGAGATTGATAAAGAAGCCATTGAAATTGATGAAAATCCAGAGAAGTGGCTCTCAATTGCAGGAGCAAAAAACGATGGTAGATGTGACTTAGAAGGGAATGAGGGTAACTCATTGAGGTACTCTGTGACGTTTGGGGAGAACAGACGATCTTCTTGCATGATATTTGTAAGTCCATCAAACTTTACGTCACCCTCTGCATGTGCAGCATTGCATAAAGCCGTGATTCAGTTATTATCTGGTAATATGGTGGCAAATGTTACATCAGCTAAGGAGTTCAATTTTTATATAGCGACTTTCGGAGATGCAAAAGTTGAGGATACTGGTGACTGGACACAAGTGATATTAGAAAGTGTCCCATCGTTTTTAACAAGTTCAAGTCGAAGTGATGATTGGACACTAACTTGTAAAGGTATTGTGACAAGTATCCACATTGATATAATGTTTGCCAATGTGGGGTCTTTAGCAGTTCCTCAAGCAAAAATCTTAGGTTCTGTTTTCAGATTTGGACCACCTCATGATATAATGTTCACATGTTCTTCTTTGCACTGTGCTCATGAAACTGATGAACAGCACTTTGAAGTAGTAAGCTCCGTATCATTTGTCGATGTTACCAAACCTGCAATTGTAGAGTTTGCAGAACCACCGGTTTATGAAGTGAAATTACCCCATGACTTTTTCTATCCATTTTTCAGTAATTCACCTCTTTTAAGACCAAGTAATGCACTTGTACTGGTTTCACTTTTCTTCTTCCCAAGTGTCCAAAGCAGACTACACTGAATATGGCTCTTCTTTTGGACATCATCCATCATCTTGAAATTTTTCAAATGCAGTTTCTCAGAACCACATCTCACTGCATCATCATTTATAATCGGAGAAATGTTCCTGCATGCTTGGAGCCATTACAGATAGCTAGTCTCAATCATTGGACTAGTAACCTTTACTGGTGACAGAAACAGAGTCAGTTTCTGAAGACTTGTATGTTAAAAAACTCAAAGACAGTGGACAGTATCCAAAATAATAATCCTGTTTAATGTAACATACCATCATGGGAAACATTTAGACTGGAATTAGAATATGCCAGTTGACATAAGAGTTAGTAATTTAACTATTCCTCATATCCTGCCAGATGTCCAGTTATGCAGTAGACTTGATTATCTGCTGGCTTACTGAGATATGATCATGAATAATATTTTCAAAAACGTTAGAGAAGTAATTTAAAATTGTAAAAGCTGATAGCTAGTCACAACAGTGTTGATGCCCTTCATAGATACAGGACAACAGCCACTTCTTTCTGCATAGAGGGAAGGTCTCTTCTATTAAAGGGAAATGTATGTGTGTTTTGGAGCAGGACAAGGATCTCAGAGCTGCCATTGGTAATATAACTGGGGATTACCTATGATGTCAGATTGCCCAAGTAATGTCAACTGACAGAATGGTTATACAGTCAAAAGGGAGCCTCAGGAATGATAGGGATATTAACAGAAGAGGAGTCATTAAAAGAAGACTGAAAGGCTTCTGTAATAAGTTGCAGCTCCATGATGATGACTGATAATAATTTGAAAGGCATTTTGATTTATACAGGATATTTGTTATTGATGTTATAAGGAAATTGTCATTTCACACTGAAGCATATATAGGCCTAGTATTGTGAAATATTCTTGTATATAATGCAAATTGTAACAGTTTTATATACAGCAATACCTCGCATAGTCTGGGTAATCGGTTCTGCCAATATCCCAGACTGTTTGAAACCGGACTAATCGAGGAACTAAATACATACAAAAAATAATTATTTTTTGTATTGGTTAAAAAAATCCATTTTTTAAATAAATAAAATGCGATTAATAAATTCAAATGTCTATATTAGAAATAATTTTAAAAAATTCATGTTTTTTGTAATTCATTTTTTATTCTCTAAAAATTGCAATATTGATGTCTGCACATTTTTCTTCTTTGGCCTTTTCTCGTCTTACATTTCTTTGTAGCAACGAATTGCATTGTTTATCATTCGGCGAATTGTAAGGCTACGTTCAATATTGGGATCAACTTCCATAATATGCTCTGACAAGGTTTCAACCATTCCAGTAATTTTTATAGTTGTTCAGCTGTTAATTCTCGTGCAGGCACTTCAACACGGTCGTCGTTGTCTAAGTTGTCCTCCCATTCTTCATAAGCCCATTGTTCAGCTATGTTAATAAGTGTTTCATTATCTAGTTCATTAGTGTTCGATTTGATGCACTCAATTACGTTGATGGAATCTAACTCATTGAAATTAAGTAGCTGTCCAATTTCCATTATGTTATTAGTGACTCCAGCAAAATGAGTTTCAAAACCAATGAAATAATTTGCACAATGTAGTATGATATGTTTCTGTACTGCCCTCATATTGCTTGCCGTTAATTCATGCCATGCTTCACCTATATTTTCGATAATGTTTCTGATGTTGTAGCTCTTCCAAATTCTGTTAAAGTAGGCCTTAAATTTCGCAATGATACCTTGATCATCATTTGGATTAACGACATCGTATTTGGTGGAAGAAAAGTTATTTGTACATTTTCATTTAAATCACAGAGACCAGTCAGATGACCTGGGTCATTATCTAAGATCAATAAAATCTTAAAAAAATCTAATCCATTTTCTTTGCAATAACGTTCTGTTGTAGGGCAAAAATAGTTGGTGAACCAATCTTCAAATAAAGCTTTTGTGACCCATGCTTTCTTATTTGAACGCCACAACACTGGGAGATTATTTTTTGATACATTTTTAAGAGCTCTAGGATTTTCTGCATGGTACACAAGCATCGGTTTCAATTTGAAATCCCCTGATGCATTTCCACCTAATAACAGTGTGAGATGGTCTTTTGAAATTTTATATCCAGGGCACGACTTTTCATTGGCTGCTATAAAGATGCGTGACGGCAATTTTTTCCAGAATAAACCCGTTTCATCAACGTTGAATATTTGTTCATCTTTCTAGCCACCTTTTTGTATGATTTCACTTAATTCCTTCTAATATCTTGAAGCAGCCTCTTTATCTGCAGTAGCAGATTCACCAACAATACGAACATTGTGAATACCAGTGCGTGGCTTAAAACGGAGAAACCACCCACGACTTGCCATAAAATTTTCACTGCTAGTTCCCTCACCTTCGTTTTCCATATCATCAATAGTCTTCAAGTCATTGTAAAGACTTAATGCTTTGGTTTGAATTTCCATTTGACTAAGTGGAACTTGTTTTTGATTTAAGTCTTCGATCCATATGGATAATAGCCACTCCATGTTTACCATTCGAGTGGTTTTTGAACTGATGACCCATCCATTCCTTTTTCACGGCCTGTTTTAGCAAATGATGCACCTTCTTACTGAAGCTTGATTGACAAAAGATAGACAATGGACGCTAAGCTTGATTACATCGAGCTTTTGTTCTAAAGCGAGCCACTTACATTTCTTGGTGACAGAATCACTTTCACATTTTCTTTTTGCACTCATTATTATTATTATTTTTATTTTAAATGGGTATTAAAATTTAATTGTCACAAATGGACTTTACTGTAGATTTGCGTATCGAAAACTGATAGACAGAAGTTAATTCAACATTAAAGTTCACAAATGTCCACTGCTTACACGTGCTACATAACTTACACATTAAGGACAGCAGTTGTGATCGCACTGAACTGCAATCAGAGTGGCTTCTTTCACATGCTTTATGCTGAAGACCTTGAGCTCTAACAGTTGTAGGAGCTGTTACAACAGCGAGATAAAAGTCAACGCGGAGCATGCCTCATCAGTGCTCTCCCCACCTCCTCCAGCAATAGCTGTCAGAGCTCACGAACGAACAACCCAAGCATAGGTACATACATATACAACAGGGAACCCCAGAAAAAATTGGAAAATGTATCATACTGCATAACTTTAAAACCACATAAAAATAAACTGCACAAAAAGAGACTTGACTGTATAAAGGGAAAACCGATCATTTATGTATTAAAAATAATTTTGTGTACTAATTTTTTAGAATTTATTTTTATTTTGCTCAATTAGAATTTAGTTTGTTTTGAAATTTTCAAACCGGACTATAGTGAATCTGGACTGATCGAAGCTGGACTATGCGAGGTATTGCTGTATAATTTAACGTACTGCACCTTTAATGGAACCAGAAGTTTCATTACTGTTTTCATGACAACCTGTCTCTGATCCCTATCCAGAGACAAATGAATCCAGGCCACACACTATAAAACCTCTTTCTTTAAGATCCATCTTGACATTACCGATCAGTCAACCCAGCTTGGACATCTCTCCCATCTGGACTCCTATTATCACAGCAGAAGATAAAACATTACAACTCCGTCCAGTGTGGATTGAGTGGGAAAATTTGTTCTTCTTGTGTTGGTACCATACAGAGAGTTTCATCTCCCCACTGACAATTTCTATCTTGATAGATCTCTGGTGCAAGGCCTCATATGTGTAGAGTTTTTAATATTTTAATGTTTTGTCTTAGCTCTAGTAGATGTTTGTGCTGTGCTTGGCTTGTATGCCCTATCATGGTGCTGGTATAGGTGTCCAGAGATAGGGACTAGCTCTGTCAATTGGGCACAGCTGAGTAGGTTTTACTTGAAAGACAGAGACATCAGAGTCTCTGAAACGTGTTTTGAAATATAAACAGGACAATAGATAATGTCCACAAACATAATATTTGTTCACAAACTTTTAGATCTTGATCACCTTCCTATTTATGCCAGAGTCTCCAAAATGATTCCCTCCCTTCAGATTTTCCCACTGAAACTATGGTATATGAATTTACCAGCTTTCCATGGATGCACGCTGTGTCATACAGTCTAGGCCTGTAAGTAACATGTATCAAGTTCAGTCTCCTGGGAAGTAGCTCACATATAACTAACAATAACATGTGTGAACACCAGTGATACCATCAAGTGACACAATAAAAATGTGATCTTGACACATTCACGACTAAGATTTCCGAAAATGCCTCTATACCATTTTCTCTGAATGCCTGTGTGTTCTCACATAAACTGAGAACCACCAAAAAGATTTTTATGAGATTTGATACCCAGACTCTCTATTAAAATTTGTTGACATGTTCTAACTGTGGCTGAAGTCAGGTGATAACTTACTTACTTACTCATGGAGCTGAGCCCTTCTGGAGGAGCCGCCAATTCTGCAGCTACTCAAGCATTTCCCAGCATTTTATGGAACCTGAAGGTTCAGAACCATGTTCACAAGAACCCTCCACTGGTCCCTATCCTGAGCCAGATCAATCCAATCAATACCATCCCATCCTATCCCTCTAAGATCCATTTTAATATTGTCCACCAACTTGTGCCTTGGTCTTCCCAGTGGTCTCTTTCCTTCTGGCTTTCCCACAAATATTCTATACGCATTCCTCATCTCCCCCATTCGTGCTACATGCCCTGCCCACATCATCCTCCTTGACTTGATCATTCTAATTATACTTGTAC